TGAAAAAAGATATAATATGAACCGGTTGCACGCTAAAAATTAGAAAATCTTTGTAATACCCGCAAAAAAAATTTCCAAAAGTGCGCTAAAGGCAGAGATCAAAGAACCTGAAGAGGTAACTTAGGCTAGAAGAGAGAAGATAGAACGCATTAAGCGCAAAACGCAGTCATCCAGAAGTACTACTGTCTTCGTTATCAAATCTTGTTTTATGCTGCTGAAGCTGCTCTATTTCCAACTCCAATTTTTTCATCTTCAATTGATAGTATTTCGTCATCGCTTCTTCCTGGGAAATGGAGATACTCTGAAATGTACCGCGAATCTTACATAGATGCACCTTACCCTGGCAATTTGTGCTTCATATGCTCTTTTTTGCAAAAACTTCACGTCACGACAGTTATCTTTGGAGGATAAAGAAGCTGACGGTGAAGAGGTGGCCACAATAGCTGTAAATTAAGTGGAATTATTCCTAGAAACGTTCTAGACCCCAACCTCCGCTGGGTCAATATAGCAAAAAAGAGCAAAATACCTACCTCTATGCGAAGGTACAACACACTTTGGAGGATCGGTTGAAGGTTTACGATCAACAGGGCTTGGGAAATGTAGTACACCAGCGTTATTTTCCTCTTTTGAAGGAGGTGGTGGCAGTGCCACAGAACGAAGGTACTGAGATATATTTGTAATATAATCTTGACATGCCGTTTCTCAATATTCTTTGAAAAGTGGAACTGATTTCAAACTCACATCTCCAATTGTGGTCACGTGATCTGTGCGATTGATTTCGTTGTCTACAGTATCTAGAAGGTGAAGGTATGAAACCTATTGCAAATTACGAAATTTCCAAGAATATAGACAGATGGAGTAAATATGACCAATTTCACTTGCACATTTCCACGTTTTTTGAGAATCTAGGAAAGAAGCATAGAGATTTTTAAAGTCTTTGGAGCACATGCCTTGACAAGAGCAACATGAACCTGACAAAAAAATCATATGGACACAAAAAACGAATTCTCGAGCTCGCGCTGCAGTGCATGTGAGAATTCAATTTGATAAAGTACTTGATCTATGGGAAGAGAAGAACTGTGATCTTCAGATTAAGCACTATATCCGTTTTGCTATACTATATCTGTTTCAGAAGCAAAAGGAAGGAGAACTATTATTGAGTCGAGGTAAGATGGCATTTGCCAAGGTTGTGACAGTATCATTTGATATTGACAGTGGCAATTGTGAGGCATTTCCCAGCACCAACG